GAGACAGAGAGAGAGAGAGAGAGACAGACAGACAGAGGGAGAGAGCGGGCTCTCATGGACTACCACAAACCACTCCAAAGTGGAGATACATCATTGACTTTACATTTGTAAGTTACGAGCTTTCACAGGCTTGAAGTTCAGCAAGTAAGTGATGTCTCGGAGTTTGTTTTTGTCAGTTCAAAAGTTTTTTCCATTTGTTTCTTAACATTGTTTCCTCTTTGAATGTTTAGTTTGTTTAGTTAGGTTTCCCCATTTCTTTATAGTGTCTCAAATTTTGTGGCTGCCAAGTGTTTAAAACATTTATCATATGATAGCATGTCTTGGTGGATATTTGTCTCAGTTTTTATATACAATTAAAAACTATATATTATTATAATCATAATATACTTTTTTCGACTGTCTGCCATTCATTGTCAGGCCTCGATATTACACATTGAGACGCCTTCCTTGTCGAATCTGTTTATCTGTCTATCGTGTGAACAAGTTACCCCTTCGAGAACTGAATCTATCTATCGGGCTCTCTGTTTGTCGAATTCTCTTTTCTCTTTATCTGTCCCTGTTCTATCTACTTCTTTGTCTTATTTGTCTCTTCCTCTCGCTCACTCTTACAGCCAGTCTTTTCTCGTATTTTCTTTGTGTGCTATTTGCTCTTGCATTTTTTCTTTCGTTATTGTTTCTGTAATGTATTCATATGACACGAGTTCTTTTTTCGCAATTCTTTGTTTATTTCCACGTCTGACTGGCCGTCAAACATCCTCAATAAACATCTTAGAACGCATCTACAGGGAAGAAAGAGCTAAACCCAAACAAAAACAAATGCAAAAACAAAACAAAACAATCACCCCCCTCCAAAAACCCCCCCACGAAAACAACAAACAAACAAACAAACAAAAACAGATAAACAATAACCACAAAGTTTTCGAAACAAATGGAAACCAAAAAAATATATATATAGCAATACAAAAGAGTTGACGGTTAACCGAATATCGTTCTCATGTGTTATCTAACAAGTGCCGGAAACATCTTTCAGGATTCTCAAGGGTGGGGACATCGTATGAAAGCAAGTGATGTACTATGCATTTTTTATTTCTAAAATGTGTTTCCCGGTTTTTAGATAATTCACTGTCACTCACTTTTGTATGTACTCCGATAAGTCAAGAGTTTTGTTGTCATTTTGCCGTCCTCCCGAGGGCTGTGTTTCCCCACACGGCAGCAAGGTGATGATGTTAGCTTTGTATTTTCTATATTTCATGTTGTGAATTTAAATCAGAAAAGTCCGTTTGTTTTCTAATTGTTATACAAAATCTATAGAGGAATGGGTTTTTTCTTTCTTTATGAATTAACTTATTTTATGCAATGATGGCAAATACGGCTAATTAACATAATTCGTGTTAGAAAATAAGGTATGCCATTTGTACCGGTAAAGAAATTGTAATTTTCTTTTCTCCGTTTAAAGGATGGGCATTCTTTAGTTTCTTTTACAACAGTTACCAGCGTCTACTTGCAAGATATTTAATTTTCTACCCGTGAAAGGATGAATATGTATGTGTTTCAGATTCTGTGACAACGGCTATCGGTATTTTAATTTTTTTTTCCGCGAAAGGATGGGTATTCATGTGTTGCTGTTACAACAGCTATCGTCTTCAATTTGCTGAGGTATTTTGATTTTCTTTCCGTGAAGGGCAAGGTATTCATGTGTTGCTGTTACAACGGCTGTCGTCTTCGATTTGCTGAGGCATTTTGATCTTCTTTCCGTCAACGGATTGGGATTCGGGTGGGTATTCTTTTGTTTCTGTTACGAAGGCCATCGTTTTCGACTTGCTTTCAAAAGATATGCCATTTTTAAAAATCCCTCTAGTTGTGTTGTATTTCTGGGGATCAAGTTCTCAAGGCTGGGGTGGGGGATGACTGGCAAAGAAAAGTGGCACACAAAAGGTATATTATAATCTGTAAAATTTCTATCCATTTTTTTGTGAAGCGCCAAGAGCAATCAGGGAGTGGGCGTTATAGAAGTGATCTTTATTGTTATTATGAATATTACGATTGCGAGGTATCGTGGTGAAATCAGGCGCTCGTCAAAATGATGAAAAAAAGAAACCCGCACATTTATTGGTTATCTGCCGGTTATGCAATTTTTATTGGATTTCTTTTTTTTTTGTTCAATACCTTTATGTCCATTTAAAAACACATTTCTGTGTGGATAATACTGAACAGCGTTGATTAATGGCGCACACACACAATATGTACATTTTCAGTTTCCAAGTAATTGAGGGTTGTTGGGTTTTTTTCTTTTAGAATTAAAGTAGATGTAAGTAGAAATTTGACAATGTGTGGCAGATAACCGAAAAAAGTGTTTCATTTGTAGGAGTCTCGAAATGGAAAAAGACATTCATAGAGACTCTGCCATTACTACAGACATTTTTTTTAGGGGGGGGGGGGTGTTTTACTTGTTTTATATCATATTATGTTCTGCACTGATGGTAAATACGGCTAAGGCGTGTTAGAAAATGAGGCATGTCATTTGTGCCGATAAAGAAATTGTAATTTCCTTTTCTCCGTTAAAGGATGGGCATTCTTTAGTTTCGATTACAACGGCTATTAGCAAGCTTCTATTTGCCTGATTATTTTATTTTATTTCCGTGACAGGATGAGTATTCGGATGGGTATTCTTGTGTTTCTGTAACAACAGTTGTCGTGTTCGATTTGCTAAGGTATTTTAATTTTCTTCCCTCAAAGGATGGGAGTTACCAGACTTTGGACGTAATTTTTTTCTTTTATTTTCACCTCTGAAACCAAGTGGCCCCTATCTCCTTCAATCTCAAATATCTCGACTTCTATTCAAGATAGATGGGTATCTCTTTTTTATTGAAAGACAGACACATGAACAAGACGATATCAATAACTTCACAAGCCCAAAAATTGACGAGCGCCTGATTTCACCCTGTCGTAACACATTTTGTGCTACTGGGTTGTAGAGGGAGTTTCATTCAGGTCATGGGACTACAGCTTGGGTGGTACTTACTAGAAAAAGGACAGATATTATGGTTCTGTTCATACCTCTCTTGGGAGGACATTTTATCAACTCAATACAAACTGTAATATAAAGTCTCAGCAATGAAAGAGATCAATTACATAACTCAAGAGGAATGTATTTCATGTACGAGCTGCCTCCTATTTTTTTCATAAAATCTGATAACCGACAAACACAAATTATGAACCACACAAACTCCTTTCGGGCCGCCTAATTTGTGTTCAGGTTAACGGGAACAGTTAGGGTGGTAACGTCTGAGTCCTATACTAGCAGAACGCGTACCACTTATCTTCGTATCAACTGGGACCACTGCGCATTCCTGAACTAAGACACTTTGCAACTTATTGTTACCCCGTGTATAACACCGCGAAACATTCAGTGCTGGCTGCAGTACTGACAAGATACATCTTTTATTGTTGTCTTTGGCAGGCAATTATGTTTTCACTTGCGCCGAAAAAAGTGTATGCGTACAGCCAATATTCACTTTTGGAGACAATTGTATGTCTTTGAAAGGTGGATATCTTGGTAGTATGATATAGAGAAAAAGAAAGATAATCAAACCGCACAAACAGGTGCAAAGGGGGGGGAGTGTGATTTGTATAGGTGATTGTCTTGGTAGATGGCTGTCGGAGTAGGTTTGACTGTAATGCCTTCCTCAATGACTTGGGCTCTTTCGCTAACTTGGAATTACACAGTTCTATCTGACATTTTTGGCAGACGTTTTGAGTTACCATGAGGTCAGAAACCAATAATGATCTACCTGCTCTATCAAAATCATAAGATTATTAAATGTTGTAGTCATTATCAAGATATTCAAAGAACTGCGTTCTAAAAGGCTTGGCATGTTGTGAAACCCATTTTTAACGTCAAATTTCTCAAAACCAGGTACTGAGCAGATAGAAGTTTGTACTTCCGAGGTAGCGATTTGTGTAAATAATGGAGATAACACATTGTTCGATATGACAATGTTATAAATAGCAGAATATGACGAGCATTGATTCTCTTTTGGGGAAATTCGGGATGTTCAAAAGCATGCATGTAGAATGATGTGAGAAAACACAATATACGAAGGTTACAAAACTGTGTCAGATGGTACACAATATCAATATAACACTAAATTAATACAGTCCGCTTGACGAACAAGCCACAGCTTTCTAACGTGTCTGGGTGATTCTACTATGTACCTAGCCGCGTACATCCGGCTCTTGAACCACTCCCCTCGGCGGACTTCAGTCTCACAGTGAGAGGCTTGGATGTGATCACGTTCTCCATCCACACTGCGCCGGTTTCAGACCCCACAAACACTTTCACTGTCATTGTAAGAAACGATTGCCTCATAAATGGCGCTCAGACTTGTAAACTCGTTCCTCAGCCTTCCTTGAAACAAAGTGGGCGTTAAGTGTTTGAAAATGATCGCACTGCGTTTTGGAGAATATAGTCTGACTATATCCAAACGCACCCATTTAATGCAAAATGTGTTTATAGCAAACATATTTATCTCAAACTTATTTCTATCAATTACAACGGAACAATTTTTGCACATCAGTTAGTGTCTTTATTAAAGATATATATGTTTGGGGTATTAGTTTTGACAGTGACTATGTCAAACGTATTAATTTCAAGCATAAATTAATAAAATCGAATATACATTCAAACGTGTCCAAAAGACTAATGTTATCCGACTTGGTTAAATTCATACTTATTTAAAACATCCTTATCTAATGCAAAGTGTGTTTATAACAAACTTAAACATACTTATCTCTAACTTATTTCTATCAATGCAATGGAACAATTCTTGTACATCAATACCTGTCTTTATTAAAGAGATTAATATTAGGGGTAATAATTTTAACGCAATTATAACAAACATATGTGAGGTGAGCTGACAAAATGAGTTACTTCTCGCAATTCTCAATAAGTGGAGATATTGGCAAAAACAATGTTTAAAAATCAATACTAGGGCCCAATTTGTAGATTTTCTAGTGATACCATATTCTTTAAGTGTAATATGCATGTTATTATTTCATACTTATGTATTTCTAAAAACTGATAAGCGTTATTTATCTATTTCCATACGGCTCAAATCAAAGAAGTAACTCATTTTGTCAGCACGTTTCACATATTAATTTCAAGCATTTAAAAAAAATCGATTTACATCAGACTTATTTTTATCAAATGCATTTATGCATCTAATTAACGAATATCGATACCTGTCTTTATTAAAAGTATTCATATTTTAGGTAACCACATATGGAACTTGGTGTCGCAAACGTTTTGATATCAAATTGGTAGTTGGATGGTGCCATGGTTTGGTTTTCTCCCTCTTTCTTATCAAACACCTATTGTTCTGATCTTTTCTTCTCCTTTAGTGTGTTTCTTACTCTCTTAAAACGCCTCTATATTATTATATCTTCGCTCGGTACTTATAAACCTCATTGTGTTGCAAGTGCCGTAAGACTCTTACTGAAACTAAAGTAAATTTTGATAAAATATCAAAATATGAAAACATCAAGCGTATAATTTACATTGTTTTGCTTTATTTCTTCTTATTTTTTCGTCCACAGGTAGTCAGGCACAAGGGCGACAGACTTGAGACTAAAAACAAGATCCCGTTTTTCCTTCTAGCTCCTTTGGCCTTCTTCTCACGAGTGTCTGCCATCGCTGTAAAGCAATAACATGAGACCGTGAATGTGGCAATAACACATCAACCACGATCTCCCTCTTCACTTCACGTGTGCAGTCTTGGCCCTAGAACATTCCTGGGACAGGATATAGGACACAACAAGAGAGTAAAAAGCAGCTGAGATAGAGAAACCTGCGGCTGTCCGCCATTTTATCTGGGGCGTACCACCAGCCAGATATCGTCCGTCTTGCTTGTCAAGCACGAGATAAACAAAGAGGGGGTCTTCTTACAGTCAGAGCGGAACCATTAATTTCCCGCGCTACGCTGTCTGCACCAGATTTGGCACTTCGCTGCCTTTGCTGTCAGTTCTTGGAGATACATTACAAACTGTTTGATTCGTTTATGTTGGAATAACTTTGTTGGTGCTCAGACATTCCAGGAGAGAGTTTATCTCTCACAGTTTTTTTAAAGACAGCATGGCAATGTTGTGGCTGATTTTTCTGGCATCAAGTTTTGCTGTTTTAGATTTGACAGATGGGTAAGTTTCCTAGTTTGATTCTTTATTTATTAAATTCTTAAAACGGAAACGGCAAGTTCATACTATTTATCGTTGTTCGCTACATGATTTTAAATCTGAAAGAAGACTTTCATATATTCATTTCTCTCTCTCTCTCTCTCTCTCTCTCTCTCTCTCTCT